AAAGGACCAATGAGGCCACCGCTGTGTCTCTGAACCACAGCTGCTCTCACATACAAGACCCTGTCCTTGTCCTTGACCGGCCCGTGAGCCCCCAGCCGGGACGCTCCAGACATTTTACAAAACAGTGGCCCAGGAAGGGAGGATAAACTGCCCAAGCAAACCCAGCTGGCAAGAACTCAACTCCAACCTGAGTGACTCTGTCACACACACAGAACCCAGACTCAGCCCTGACTGGTTTGGCCCAGTGGATGGAGCGTCAGCCTGCGGACTGAGGGGTTCCGGGTTCGATTCCGGTCAGGGGCGTGTGCCTTGGTTGCGGGCACATTCCCAGTGGGAGGTGTGCGGGGGGCAGCTGATCAGTGTTTCTCTCTCATCGATGTTTCTGACTCTCTGTCTCTCTCCCTTCCTCTCTGTAAGAAATCAATAAAATAAAAAAGAAAAAGAAAAAAAAAAGAACCCAGACTCATCTGATTTCAGCAGCCACTAACAAGTTTTCATTAAGCAGTAAATAACCCATGTAAACCCAGTCTTATATCAAATTCCACATGGTCACCAAGAAAGAGTTAGAACCCAGTTTTTGAGCAATAATTAAAGAGCACTCAGGAACTCTGTGGCTTTTCTGTGGGAACTTTCACTGCCTTCTCAGAAGTCCCCTTCTTGAACAGCCATGACCTTTCACTGTATAGTGGAACCTCGGTTCTCAAACTTAATGCGTTCCTGAAGGCTGCTTGAGAAGCAATTTGTTCGAAAACCGAACCATTTCTTTCCATTAGAAATAATGTAAATTGAATTAATTCGTTCCAGACCCATGATTCCCTGTTTTAACCTTTCTTATATACAGTACATGTCTAATGTGCTGTTTAATCTGTAAACAAACACTTCTTAAATTTATCGACCACACCCTTCTAGCCTTAAACTAATCACTTCCAGCATTCATTCCAGGGGTGCAGCATCCTTGCTTTTTCACTTATCACTGCCTTGGAAATGCCGTCACCACTGGTTGACTGCTTTTCCTTCATCCAAACCAACAACAGTTATTCTACCTCTTCAATTCCTGGGGTCGGTGTTTTATGAGCACTTTCACACCCTTAGCAACATCAGCACACTTGATGGCCTCTGCATGTTTTAAAATTGTGCTAAACATCCATTTTACCAGCAACCAAAAAAAAGGAGAAAATATTCACAGCACTGACTCGCCCTCCCTCCTTTATTTGTGGCCTGAGAGACACTTTTGTTATGCTGATGTATCAGCATGAAAGGGTCATTAGGTTGAGAGCTGAAGTCTTTTTCTAAAATGGAGACATTTTTTCTGTGACAGCATTGTTCCAGATCAGAGATGTCCGGAACTGAGGTTTAACTGTTCTAGGTGAGAACAGCCAGGCCAGTTCAGTAGGCTGTCAGCCTTGGACAAGCCATGTTCCTATCCCCGCCAAGTAAGGCTCTAGACTAGCGCTTGCTCTTGCAGGCAGTACATCCCTCTGTGTCACTGAAAATCCTCTTTGCATCAGAAAAAGCCACACACACACACACACACACACACACGTATCACATTCATACAGGAGGTTCCAAGAAAAAGGGCTACGAAAGCTGCCCTCACTCTTAGGGGGAGGGGTGCTACTGGCATGACCTACTCCACTAGGCCGGCAACGCCAGAACAGAAGTGAGCTGGAGCACTGGCCAGAGCGTATCCACTGCAGCCCACTAGAATCTGAGGATTTACCTACGTAAACCCAAAAGTTTAAGAAAGTAAGGGATCCATTTTTAAAGACTAGAGAGGGGGCCCTTTAACGATACTATCTATTTCATTATGTACATGCTGGGCCCAAACATATCATATCTAGCAATGAAAATTGGACAATTAAACTTCTCCTAATGACCAAACAACCCAACAAAGGCATCCTGCCTTCAATATATTTTTATTGATTTGAGAGGAAGGGAGAGAGAGATAGAAACATCAATGATGAGAGAGAATCATTGATTGGCTGCCTCCTGCATGCCCCCTACCGGGGATCGAGCCCACAACCTGGGCATGAGCCCTTGACGGGAATCAAACCCCGGGCCCTTCAGTCCATAGGCCATGACGCTCTCCACTGAGCCAAACCAGCTAGGGCTTATCTTGCCTTTAGAGCAGCGGTTCTCAACCTGTGGGTCGTGACCCATTTGGGGGTCGAACGACTCTTTCACAGGGGTCGCCTAAGACCATCGGAAAACACATATATAATTACATATTGTTTTTGTGATTAATCACTATGCTTTAATTATGTTCAATTTGTAACAATGAAAATACATCCTGCATATCAGATATTTACATTACGATTCATAACAGTAGCAAAATTACAGTTATGAAGTAGCAACGAAAATAATTTTATGGTTGGGGGTTACCACAACATGAGGAACTGTATTAAAGGGTTGCGGCATTAGGAAGGTTGAGAACCACTGCTTTAGAGGGGCTTTTCCTTAGCCAGTCCAATGCATCACCCCATAAAACCCTCATCTCAAAGTCCACCAGAAGCCAGAGGCTTTCCTGTTCTCAGGCACATAGACTATTGCTATGACTATTCCTAGATTTAGACCAAAGTTTTTAAAGCTGAGATTCATATCATTGAGACCCTCTGCCCCTAAAAGACTGTGGACGAAAGGGGCCACATGCTAACCTGACAAGCTCAGGGGAGGCCTGCATGGCAGTATTGCAAACTCAGAGACCTAAAGTAACCACAAAGGATGGTCTGAAAATTAAATATTTAACTACAAACAGGTTGTAGTGGGTAGTCATGTCCTAGGCCAGTATTTTCCCTGACAAAGATCAACTTAGATCTTTACTGAGCCCATTTGTCTTTTTGCCTCTAAGATAACATATCTGCGAAATGTATGGGTAACTTGTAACTTCCCTTTTTTCCGGACCCCCCAGGGCACCAGGACAGTCCCTCATTGTTATTGTTATCAAGTTCATTGTCAATGTTAATTATGTAAAACTATCCTGTATCCATCTATGTAAAAGAAGCACATGTCCGTCATTTCACTTTTTATACTACCCCAGAGGTTTCCCCGCTTTGCTTTATCCCACCTCCTTAATCTATCACCAATGAATTTCATGTAACCCACCTACATCCCTTTCCTTTGATTGCAATGTGTAAATACAGATATAACCCGCCATTCTCCAGAGCATTATCTCAATTCGTTGAGGTTCTGCTTCCTGGCATATGTTGACAGTTTGGCTCAAATAAACTCACAAAATTCTTTACAGGTTTCAATGTTTTTTTACATTAACAAGGCAAATACTCTGTCCCTTCGCCCCGAGTGACTGCCTACCTGTTCAGGTTCTCAGGAAAGCAGGTGATCCCAGCAGCCAAACAGAGCTGCACTGAGTTCTGCCTTCAGGACACGCCACGTTCCGGAGCATGTCTCAGAGTTCTAAAATACCTGCCCCCGTGGCACAGTGACACAGGCAGGAAACTCGGGCCACAGGCTCTACAAGCCCAATAAGACCAGCAGGCATGGCCAGGCAGAAGCCACTTCAAGTAACGGCACAGTCCCTGAGTTTCACGCTCCGATCTGAAACCAGGAATGTACCCTGCCACCTCTGTACTTATATACACGACTGAGATTTGGGCAAATGCTCAAGGTGGCAACTCTGAAAGCAGGACACTTCCATTTGCAAGCCTCCCTAGAGGTTGGCCAATAGGTAGGCAGAAAAACTGCCAACAGCCTTTAAGAAAAATCACATTACATTTGGTATAAATTAATTTTTTCGGAAATCCCATAAGAAAACTGTTTTTGCAAAGCAGCAATTTTCTCCAGCCTGGTTTACTCTTAGGTGAAGAACATACCAGGAACATGCCTAACAACCTACCAGGACCATGCCCATCAACATACTAACACTGTAGTGTGGAAGAGAGACTATCCCATGAAGGGGACCGTGGCCTGACTGATGCCGGACCTTCATGCTAGATCCAGCTAGATCTAGGGAGAAGAGAGATTACTTCCCATAAATCCCCTCATAGACCCTCGGATCCCTTTCCTATGTTCCAAATGTGCTGGTTCCTGGAACCGGCCCTTGCTCTGCCCGGGGCAAGTATGTAATAAGGTGTTTTCCCCTTATCAGGGCAGGTCATACCCCAGTACCCCTTTCCACCCTGCCCTGTCCTATGTAATTCTTTAGCACCTGCCACATGGCGGAGATGATAGCTATGTTGTCTTGCCAACGCCCAAGATGTGCCTCCTATGTAAGTTCTCAGTGTAATGATGTTGTCAGCCTTTCTTTGGTCTCTGGCCCCAGGAAATTTTGTATAACAAATTTAAAACCAAATTTTAAATTGGACCATGCTCACCAATATACTAACAGTGTGTCCACCAACATACTAGGACCACGTCTACCAATATACTAGCACAGTGCCCACCAACTTAGGACTATGGCCATTGACTGTCAGCACAACTTGGGAGTCCCTGCACCCAAATTTAATTTTCAGCCAAGCACCCTTCTTGTACTACTTATGGTAATCTTCAGGGGATTCAGACACTGCTGCCTACACAGAATTTTATCACTATGTTTTTTGTATGAGTCAGCCTCTGCTGGTTCCTAATAAGCTGGTCTGGAAAGGAGCTATGAGTGAAATTTTTTTAAACCACAATTTGTCTCCATAAAACAGAACTGGGGAGCTCAAACAGCAAGCAGGAAATTCGCGTTTCACTCCACGTGGGTGCCTCCCCAGAGAAAGGGGATATTGCTCAGCTCCACCGGATCTGAATGGACCAGGTGGGGAAGCGGACCGCCCACACGCGGCAGGGTGCAAGAACCACGCTGTCTGTCGCTGCGGAATTCCCAAGGTGATGTGTAAACGAATGAATGAGACGCACGTGGGTTCCAGACCTTAGCCTAGAACCGCAGCGATGGCCTGGGGATTCTAAATGGCCGGGGGTTTGAAGATGGCCGGGGGCTCGGGGATGAGGGATGGCCCGGGGTCCCCCCACCCCACCCAGGCGGGTCCCGCTGTGGTACTCACGCACGCAGAGGCAGGCCACGAGCTTGGCGGCCTCATCGGGCACCGGGCAGGTAGGGAAGAGCGGTTTGAGAAGGTAGGTGGCGAAGACCAGCGCCACGATGTACTGCGAGGAGGGTCGGATGATGAGCAGCTCGATCCAGAGCTTGAGGAAGGCGGGCAGCGAGCCGTAGACCTCGAGCATATAGGCATAGTCCCCGCCCGACTTGGAGATGGTGGTGCCCAGTTCGGCGTAACAGAGTGCGCCCACGATAGAGAAGACGCCGCAGACGGCCCAGATCACCAGCGACAGCCCGGGCGAGCCCGCCTCCTTGAGCACACCAGTGGGTGTCACGAAGATGCCCGAGCCGATGATGGTGCCCACGATGATGGCCACGCCGTTGAGCAGCGTGATGTTGCGCTGCAGGGCCACACCCTCGCCCCCCGCGCCCCCCGCGCCCTCCG